CATGAAGTCACGAAGAGTCGGAAACGACTGAACGAATGAACAAGAACAACTTGTCAAAGTAATCTAAAAATTATATTAAGATACAAACTAGAATCTACCCCACTGGCACGGAAAACAACACTATTTATTTATTTATTTATTTGCTATATTTATATCCCGCCTTTCTCGACCTTGAAGGGGAGTCAAAGCGGTTTACAGATAGGCAACAATTTGATGCCTTAACAACAATATACAATTAAAATAAACATTTAAATTGAATTAAAATCAAAACTGAAAAACATTTTTACAACATCAAAATCACTACAAAACCATGCTATTCACAATCATAATGCAGGTCATTCCGGTAGTCATGGCACATAATTCCAGTCCATCTATTGCACTATAGTTCTTCTCCAAAGGCTTGATCCCAAAGCCACATTTTCACTCTTTTTCTGAAGGTCAGGAGGGAGGGGGCTGATCTAACATCATTGGGGAGGGAGTTCCGCAAGGGAAGCAAGAAGACCAAAACACCACAGTGACTTGAGATCAGCATCTCAAAAGCTGCTGTCCTGAATTGTCTCATTAGAAAGACAATTGTGTGCCTTGCCTTCCTGAAGGTTGTAAAATGAACTAGATAGATTATGTTTTCATGGCAAATATGTTCTTCAAATGTAGCAGCCCCACTGTATTTGAAGAGTGTCTTGCCCACAAGTCTTCAAGTCACCTGTTAATTTATGGCAACCCCATGAATTTCATAGTTTTATTGGGCAAGGAAGACTAAGAAGTTGTTTTGTCGGTTTCTTCTTTTCAAATATAGCTGACATCACCGGTATTGGATTACTGTGAGTTTTCTGGGCTGTATGGCCATGTTCCAGAAGCATTCTCTCCTGAAATTTTGCCCACATCTATGGCGGCATCCTCAGAGACCTCTCAACCTCTGAGGATGGCTGTCATAGATGTGGGAGAAATGTCAGGAGAGAATGCTTCCGGATCATGGACATACAGCCCGAAAAACTCACAGCAACCCAGTGAGTCCAGCCATGAAAGCCTTCAACAATGCACCTGGTATTCATTGGAAGTCTCTCATCCAAGAGCTAAACAAGGGGAATCCTGTTTAGCTTCCAAGATTGGACAGGGTGATTGAAGACCTACATACCAACAGTAATATGGGTTGGGAAAACATCTGTAGACCAGGTCTTTCCTGAAAGACTTCTAAGAGGCAAGCATGTTTGGAGCTGACAGGGATCTCATGTAGAAAAAGCCAATAGTGAGCACTTCTAATGAACATTTCATTAAAAAACAGCAACATCCATTTCTAGTACCAAAACATAAAAAGATTAAGCATTAAGCAGGTCTTTCCCAATTCAACATGTGCCAATTCAGGTACTGGAGAAAATACCAACTTTATAATTATGAGACTCAGTACTGTGACACATACACACAATCACATCTTATTTAGTCTCCTTCAAATATTTCTGCAATTGACAGAAGCTCTTATGCATCTGTTGTTCCCTCAATAGGTCCCTGGATACAGAAAGGCATGTAACTCTCACTCCCTATAAATCCGAAATGGGATTTATAAGCATGGGCAAACTTTGGCCCTCCGGGTGTTTTGGACTACAACTCCCACAATTCCTAACAGCCTATCGGTTGATCTAGACCAATAGGTATTTTTGCAGAATTTACTCCTTAGAGTAAGTTTTACCCCTGTTAGATGACATTTTAGGCCCCATCTACACTTTCATATAATCCATTTTCTGAATTCAGATTTTCTGCTTCAAACTGTATTATATGGCAGTGTAGACTCATATAATCTAATTCAAAGCCGATAATCTAGATTCACAAACTGGATTATATGAAAGTGTAGATCCAGCCTCAGTTAATGCTAAATTGAAAACAGATAAATTATAATGCCCCAACAGGGGCTTTTTTCTAAAAAAAATTTTTAGATATTAGTCAGAGGGAGTAGCAATAAGTATTACATCATCAGATATACATTCCTATTACAGGGAAAACCAGCTGATCCCTAATCCATCTAAAACACAGATATGTGCTTTTCATCTCAAGAACAGACAAGCATCCCGAGCTCTGAGGATCACCTGGGAAGGAATCCCACTGGAGCATTGCAGCGCACCCAAATACCTGGGAGTCACTCTGGACTGTGCTCTGACCTACAAGAAACACTGCCTGAACATCAAGCAAAAAGTGGGTGCTAGAAACAATATCATACGAAAGCTGACTGGCACAACCTGGGGATCACAACCAGACACAGTGAAGACATCTGCCCTTGCGCTATGCTACTCTGCTGCTGAGTATGCATGCCCAGTGTGGAACACATCTCATCACACTAAAACAGTGGATGTGGCTCTTAATGAGACATGACGCATTATCACGGAGTGTCTGCGCCCTACACCACTGGAGAAATTACACTGCTTAGCCGGTATTGCACCACCTGACATCTGCCAGGAAGTAGCAGCCAATAGTGAAAGGACCAAAACAGAGACATCTCCAGCTCATCTCTTGATAGGCATCAGCTAGCACGTCAATGACTTAAATCAAGAAATAGTTTTTCTAAGATCTACAGAGACACTCGCTGAAACACCTCAGCAAGCGAGAGTCCAAAAGTGGCAGGCTCAAATCCAGAACCTCAACCAATGGCTGATACCAAATGAGAGACTCCCCTGGGCACACAGAAAACTGGGTGAATTGGAAGGCGCTGAACAGACTGCGCTCTGGCACCACGAGATGCAGAGCCAACCTTAAGAAATGGGGCTACAAAGTGGAATCCACAACATGCGAGTGTGGAGAAGAGCAAACTACAGACCACCTGCTGCAATGCAACCTGAGCCCTGCTACATGCACAATGGAGGACCTTCTTATAGTAACACCAGAGGCGCTCCAAGTGGCCAGATACTGGTCAAAGGACATTTAATCAACTACCAAGCTTGCAAACTCTGTGTCTTTTGTATGTTTGTTTGTTTGTTCTGTCAAAAATGTAATACAACTGTTCGGTTGCCTGACACGATAAATAAAAGATCAAATATACATTGTCTTTATCATCAATGTGAATAACAAAAACACACGCTTCAAACCCCAAAAGCTCTGAATTGAAGTTCATCACTAAATTCAAATTAATCTCCTCTTGGTTAAGCAACAAAGAGGTAAAATATTGAGCATAAATATCTCTGTTGGCTTTAAATCAGTGTTTACTAGTGTTTCAAAAGCTCTGTCTCCAGAAAGCTGTCAAGAACCTTAAAAGAAAAAGAATTTTGAGGAAGCAATAAAGAATAAGTTCAAGAACAAAAGGGTACAGCATCCGAAAAGGAAATGCACATGAGAAAAAAGAAAGTGGACTATAGTAACTGAAAGAGGAGACTCCACTTTGTATGTACTGGAATCTACCAGACAGCTGTTTTTGAAACACTATTAAAAAGCATTCTTGCAAAGTAGATTTCCTCCTTTCAATTTCCTGCAACGACTATATTGATAGAAAGGTGGTGCAAAATCTTGACAAAAGGTGAGGTTATTATAGCTGCTTAATTTTTAATCTATATAAATAAAAATGTAATGTTCGTTTGTGGGATTAACATAACTCAAAAACCACTGGACGAATGGCTGCCAAATTTGACCACAAGACACCTACTAACCCAAGGAGTGACCATCACTCAAAAAAAACTGATTTTGTCATTTGGGAGTTGTAGTTCACCTACAATCAAAGAGCATTCTGAACTCCACCAATGGTGGAATTGAACCAAATGTGGCACACAGGACTCCCATGACCAACAGAAAACACTAGAAAGGGTTGGTGGGCATTGACCTTGAGTTGGGGAATTGTAGTTCACCTACATCCAGAGAGCACTGTGGACTCAAACATTGATGGGTCTGGACCAAACTTGGAACAAATATTCATATACCCAAATATGAACACAGATGACATTTGGAGGAAATAGACCTTGACATTTGGGAGTTGTAGTTACAGGGATTTATAGTTCACCTACAATCAAAGAGCATTCTGAACCTCACCAACGACGGAATTGGGGCAAAGTTCCCACACAGGACCCCCAGGACCAAAGAAAACACTTAAGGCCATCCAGTCCAACTCCCTTCACCAGGGCAAGAAAACATAATCAAAGCCCTTCTGACAAAGAGCCATCCAGCCATAGATATAGATAGATATATGTGATTCACACACACATATATATAGTATCATAGATTTGAAAGGGACTCCTAAAGAAGGACAATGATATGTTGCATGTTCCAGAGTAGGCAAACCAGACAATCTCCATATCAACACTGACAAAGAAACAGCAAGAAATACTGTTTACCCACAAGCATAAAGAAATTACATATATTAGAAACCAACACCTCTGAGGATGCTTGCCATAGATGCAGGCGAAACGTCAGGAGAGAATGCCTCTAGAACATGGCCATATAGCCCGAAAAAACCTACAACAACCCAGTGATTCCAGTCATGAAAGCCTTCGACAATAGCAAAAAAATACTGTTTACTCACAAGCATGAAAAAATACCATCACTTTCTCATTACTTTATTTTCCAGATCATCAGACTGGGCCACAGCAACGCATGGCAGGGACAGCTAGTTTTAATATATGAATATAAACAAGAAAGGTAAGGGAACAAGACAAACCCACTAACATAACCCTTCAGTCCCTTGACTCTCCCATCAAAATATATGAGAATTAAAACATTGGTTTGGATTATGCCATAGAACTGGATCCAATGTGTGTTAAATCAAAAAGAAGTCTTATGATATTTCATTGGAAGCCAGTCCCACATCCCAGCCTTAGAGATGGAATGTGATGTCCGTTGTTAAGGCTTAAAGATGGGCATCACATCCTATGACCACAAAGAACAAATGCCTTTTAATGTATGTAGGTTACTTCTGTGTTTTGGAGTGAGTTGTTTTTTTCAGGCAGCAAAGCTCTTCATTAAGGAAGCCATTCCTATCTAAACAGATCATGCAACTCCGGCAATCTCTCCTTTGGTTCACTGCCACTTACCCTGTCAGTGCTTTGGATGGGGAGAGCTGCTCTGGGATGGTGCACTGGGAAACAGAGCAGACTCCCGTTTTATAGTTCTGTGGGCTCTTCCCCTCCCACCGGCTTCCCAAACAAGGAGCAAACCCAGGCCCCGTTTCTGTCTCTCTGTCAAACAGAACCATATAGGGGCTTCTACACAAAACCCTCGGATCTGGGTGGCCACCAGGCCCTGGGACTCTTCCACGCTGCATTCCATTCCGGAGAATGCAAGGCAGGAGGAGGCAGCAGCTGCCTGTCAGATCAACATTGAAATTTTAGGAGCTGCGGAAAGACTGATGTAGGATTGCACATGAGTGACTGGTGGCTCCTGGCAAGGAACACAGGCTTCAATAGCATGGCCCACACAGAGGCTGTCAAAGGAGGACAGTAGCTAGATATCTATATAAATAAAAATGTAATGTTCATTTGTGGGATTAACAGAACTCAAAAACCACTGGATGAATTGACACCAAATTTGGACATGATACACCTAACAACCCAGTGTTGTGAACCAGAAACCCAAGCAACGTCAGACACAAGTAAAAGGTGCAAACAAGGTTTATTAACAGACAAAAATGGCACAGAAACACTTGAATTCAGTGAGTCTAGCAGCAAAACAAGGACTGCAGCAATTGCTAGTCAAAAAACGCAACTAAAGAATAATCCGGATTATACGGAGATATAATCCTCTATAACAAAAACCTTCAGCACACTGCTTGAAAATAACAGAGTTCTCAAAGCACAATAAAGCAAGGTGGGAGCAGGCAAAAACGAAGTCAGAAAACAGTCCGGGGTCAAAACACGTCCAAAAGATGAAGAAGCAGTCCAAAACACGATGTCGTAGTCAGGAAGCAATCCGAAGTCAGCAGGAGTAGAAGTCAGCATTTACAGGATTCCAGATGGACGAAACACGAAAGCACAACGATCTGTAGTCCCAGGACCCAAGGCAACAGTAAAGGCAGCAACAAAGTCCCAAGCCCAAACAACTCTTTGCCTACTGCAAAGTTCCAATAGTTTGATACCTTACTTTTATCCTATAATTCCTCATCAGAGGAAGAGCTAGACTCCACCCTGTCGTCATCGCTCTCAGGTGCTTTCGCTTCCACAGCTGTTCGCCACCTCCCGTCCCTCCAACTCTTCCAGCGTCTATCAAGACTTAGATCACCCCATGTATTTCCAGGTTGCCAGTCTCCCAAAAACCCCTCAAACTCCTCACTAGAGGTAGGTTGAGTACATATGTCCCTGATCTCCTGTACACGGGTCCAATCTAGTCCATCCTCCTCTCCATCATCACTCCCAGCCCCATCACTCCCTGTAAACCCCATGAAGTCCTCTTCCTCAGTTAGTGCACTAAGTATTTCACGGATCCGCTTCCTTTCCCTCTCTTCTTCTGAATCATCAGAGCTTTGATCCCGAGTAACCCGCTTCAATCCTCTACCTTCCTCTCCTTCTTCCATTTCGGAATCTGTAAACCCTTTGAATAACTCAGTATCTGTAGGTGTCATGAATATTTCTCTAATTCGCTTCCTTTGCTGCTCTTGATCCAACACCTGAGCAGCTCTCTTTGCCCTTCTACTACTCGTTGTAGCTTGCTCAGCACACTCTACTACAACACTCAAGGTATGTCCTTCACTCAAAAAATTGATTTTGTCATCTGGGAGTTGTAGTTGCTGGGATTTATAGTTCACTTACAATCAAAGAGCATTCTGAACCCCACCAACGGTGGAATTGAACCGAACTTGGCACACAGTTCTTCCATGCCCAACAGAAAATACTGGAAGGGTTTGGTGGGCAGTGTCCTTTGGTTTTGGAGTTGTAGTTCACCTACATCCAGAGAGCACTGTGGACTCAAACAATGATGGATCTGGACCAAACTCTACACGAATACTCAATATGACCAAATGTGAACACTGGTGGTGTTTGGGGAAAATAAAATCTTGACATTTGGGAGTTGTAGTTGCTGGGATTTATAGTTCACCTACAATCACAAAGCATTCTGAACCCCACCAACGATAGATTTGGGCCAAACCTTCCACACAGAACCCCCATGTGGGCCACAGCAACGCGTGGCAGGGGACTTACTTACTTACTTTACTTAGGCGATCCCTCATAGTCCAAGGATGATGGTCCTCCAAGGGTGGTAACCTGGGGGTGGGTCCGGAGGTGACTGTGGAGCCCTATTCTTGATCTGCATCTTTTCCCACAGTGAGGGCATCGGTTTCCAGGTGGGAGGCGGTCCCGGTCGGGGTTGGCTTGACGCGCCTTCCTCTTGGCACGTTTCTCTCTTTCGCCCTCCATTCGTGCCTCTTCAAATTCTGCAGCATTGCTGGTCACAGCTGACCTCCAGCTGGAGCGCTCAAGGGCCAGCACTTCCCAGTTCTCAATGTCTATGCCAGAGTTTTTAAGGTTGGCCTTGAGCCCATATTTAAATCTCTTTTCCTGCCCACCAACATTCCATTTTCCGTTCTTGAGTTCGGAGTAGAGCAACTGCTTTGGGAGACGGTGGTCGGGCATCCGGACAACATGGCCAGTCCAGCGGAGTTGATGGCGGAGGACCATCGCTTCAATGGTGGTGGTATTGGCTTCTTCCAGCATGCTGACATTTGTCCGCTTGTCTTCCCAGGAGATTTGCAGGATTTTCCGGAGGCAGCGCTGATGGAATCATTCCAGGAGCTGCATGTGATGTCTGTAGACTGTCCACATCTCGCAGGGTTAATAATAATAAACTTTATTTATACCTCGCCATCATCTTTCCGAAGGGGATTCGGGGCAGCTAACATGAGGCCAAGCCCAAAGATACAATACAGCAAAATAAAGTGCAAAATACAACAAAAATTACATCACAATAAAGTACATACAGTGGCAAAATAAAGTAAACAAAGCAAAATAGCATAATAGAAAATTGAACACAATGGGCAGGCCAAATGGACAAGATAAAATGATAAATCCCTGGATGAGATAGGAGTAGAAAAAGTGTATTTGAGAGGAGCCCAAAAAAGGGTGAACAGTACAGTTAGGCCTTCAATTTAGGACGGGGGAAAGTGCATCATAAGGACAACATTGTAGATGGAACAGACAGAAATGGAATGATTGATCACTCTCCAGAGGCACAACAAAAGAGCCAGGTTTTCAAATCTTTCTTAAAGGATTCTAGGGTGGGGGCTTAACTAATCTCACCAGGTAGTGAGTTTCGAAGTCAGGGGGCCACAGCGGAGAAGGCTTTCTACCTTGTTCCCACAAGTCGTGTCTGAGATAGAGGAAGGGATGAAAGGAGGGCCTCCCCAGACGATAGGGAGTCTTTCATAGTTTGCGTGTATTATATTTTTAATTTCGATGTTATATTTGTAAATGATTTTATATTTTTAACTAGCTGTACCCGCCATGTGTTGCTGTGGCCAACCTTCCCTCCCTCTTTCTCTTTTTTCATTCTCTACTTCCTTCTCTTCTTCTTCCTCCCCCCCCCCTTTTCTTTCCCTTCCTCTTTCTCCCCTTTCTTCCTTCTCTACCTATTCTTGGACTGCAACTCCCAGCAGTCCTCCTGATCAATCTATCTACCTACCTATCTATCTCTATTTAATCTATATCTGGAGGATTGCTGGGAGTTGCAGTCCAGGAATAGGAAATTGGAAATATGCAGGGATTGGGATGCTCTCAAAGAAATCCAAGGAGAAGAAAGCTTGCAGCTTGGAAGCAGTGCATTTGGATCATCCTCCTCTCTTAAAGGGCCTGGTCTAGGGAATGCTGGGAGTTGTAGTCCGGAAGAGAGTGTGGATATGCTATTGTGTGTTTGGTTTGCCAGGGGGAGTATTTTTTTTTGGCGCATGCATTGTAGCATCTTTTTGCTTTTTTGGCTTTTTAAGTCCCTTCTGCTGTGTTTTTCAGTGTCTTTATGAGTGATGGTCACTCATTGGCTTGATAGGTGTATTGTTTCCAAATTTGGTGTCAATTGGTCCAGTGGTTTTTGAGTTCTGTTAATCCCACAAATGAACATTACATTTTTATTTATTTAGATCTACAATGGTATTTGAATGTGATGATTGTCTTTTAAATTTGTATAGCTGCTTTTGATCCCATGTCAGAAAAAAGATGATATAAAAACAAATCAGATCTTCAGATGTCCTTGGCCAACCCTTGTCATAACTGTTCATCAAAAGCTAAAAATCCACCAGGAGGATCACAGTTGATAGCCAATGGTTTAAACTCTACATTGCACAACCATCTCCATTGTTATCACATTAGATCAACACATTGAGATGGTAACAGCATGTTGAGGTGGTTACAGAAGCCCACATACAGTACTCTCTTCCTGTGTTTGTCTCAAATATAGTTCCTCTCACAAAGACTCTTTCATCCCGGGTGACTAGAAGAAGGGGGAAATCCAGATTAGTCACTTCTTCTGATGTGAGCTTTCCTGAGCCTTCTCAGAACCCATGAAAAACATAACCAGTTTGAGAATGCATTTTGTCAAGAAGATGCATTATGTGCCTCATAAAACAGCCTGACACCATGAGCGTTATCAAAGTGGATGGCCATTAGGATGATTAGAGATTGTGTGTGTGTTTTCAGGTTGTTTGTCTTTTTATGACAATCCAATTGATTCCTTTGACAAGGAATACTCAGAAGTAGGGGGGGGTGGTAAACAGGTGAAATTTATTTTGTGTATAAATGAATTTTATGTGAACACTCTTTTTTTTTTAAAAAAAAGTTTCTTTTTAAAAATCATGGTTAAATTTTCATGAAGAAAGGTTAAGAAAAATCAATTTAAAAAAGTTCTTAGAAATTAAAAAACTCTAAAATTACAACAGCAAAACAGCAGAGAGGAAACAACCAGGCACATCTTAACACCTCTCAACAAAAGATTTTCCCAGGCTCAGGCAGGCCTTCAAATGGTAATGAAGGTGGTCAGTTGAAACATTCACACCTAGCTCCAGCAGGGAAGAGCTCTTTGCCCCACCCCAGCCATTCCACAGATATATAAACCCATTGTCCTAATTTCCAACAGACCTCACTACCTCTGAGGATGCTTGCCATAGATGCAGGCG